CCTAGCTTTCATGAAGCCCCGAGTTCCATCCACTCATAAACCAGGAGACCAGAGGTTCAAGAGTTCAAAGCTAGGCTGGGATTATGTGAAATCCTGTTGTAAGAAATAAATGGATTAGTTTAAAACTTTTTGAAGATAATGTGGGTAAAATTTAACAATTTCCAGCAGAAATTTGACAATGGATTAGAGAAGCTAGAGAAAAACCTACTAGGAAACTGCACTCAACCTCACCTTCCTACTTAGTTCACTGACACTAACTGTTCTCCTGGAATTAAACCATCAGGCAGGGCTCGATCAGCATTTCCTGAGGGGGAATGGTGAGGATTTCTGTTGTTGTTTATTTTTTATTTTTATTTTTTCTAGACTGTGTAGCCCTGGCTGTCCTGGAACTTGCTCTGTAGACCAGGCTGGCCTCAGACTCAGAGATCTGCCTGCCTCTGCCTCCTGAGTGCAGGGATTAAAGGTGTGTGCCACAAATGCCCTACAAATTGGTGAGAGTTTAAACCAGTGGGGAAGACATGCTTTTCCTGGTTCCTCATTGGTTTATGGCTTAGACCAGTTACTGATATGCACCCATGAAGAGCATAAACTCATCCACGAAGGCCAAGCGACATTGTAGTGCTGTTTTCAGTCCTTGGGGCACACTTTATCTCACGTCCCTGTTTCCCTACTCCACCCCCAGATATCAAGATGACTTTTAAACAACCCAAGAGACTAATCCAGCTGGCACCCCCTACTGGAGGATGAGAGCACCATGCCTACTAGAGGTGTCTACACTGTCTCTCAGCTAGGAGACATTTTTTGAGACCGAAGCTATGCTTTACACGGTGTGGAGATGCGTGTTGAACTTGTAAAAAATGGAGCTAAGCATTCAGCATTTCCACAGTCTTTCAAGATTAACCCTGGAGTAAGAGGGTTTTCACTTGCTGTATCAAAGGTAAGAAGGGGCTGTAGCTGTAGCTGAGTTGGTAGAATTCTTGCCTAGCATGCACAAGGCCCTAGGCTTGGTTCCCAGCACTTCATGGAACAGGCATGGTGTTGCCCATCTGTAATCCCAGCACTAAGATGTGGGAGCAGGAGGACCAGGAGTTCACAGTCATTCCCAGCAACACAGGGAGCTCAAGACTGGCCTAGGCTAGAGACTCTGCCTGGGGTATGGAAGACAGGCAGGCAAGCAGAAGACCCAGAAATCCCCACCCATCCAAGGGATAGCATTTGTTGTTCAGGTCTGCAATGTTTACAAACCCTGAGTTCCTGGATTGCCAGCTTTAGCATTGTGCTGAAAGAGCATGGTCTATGTTTGGCTTCTCACATGTAGGCTCCTGCTTTGTGTTGCCACTTTGAAACCCCTAATCAGTGTTGTGAAGGGACAGTCCAGGCCTACAAAACAGTCAGATGGCCTCAGCTACCCACCCGCTGTCCTAGGAAACAGCCTGGCAGTGTACCCTAAGCAGCTTGAGCAACTGAGATCCTAGGAAGCAGATGGGTGGCCTCCTCACCCACCCACAGTCCCAGGAAACAGCCAAGGGCCCTCTGTAACTGTCTTGGTTCACCAACGCCCCTGGAAAACAGGCAGGCAGTATTATGAATCTGCCTTCAGTCTCAGGAAACAGTTGAACAGCCTGTTCTCAGCTCAGCCGGATGCTGAAGTCTGAGAAACACCAACCACGAACCCTCAGCTCCAGGAAGCAGCTGAACAGCCTTCCTCTAGCAGATCAGGGCCTCTGAAAAGGCACTAACAGCATCAGTGTGTCACTAACAGACAAGCTCACTGTGGCCTACCAGGACAGCCCCACCCTCACGTGCCCACAGGAACTACAGGCACCCCAATACCTGCAGCAGGTACGCCACAGCCAGAGCTGTTAGTAAGCCATCTCACACTAAGCAGCACCATCCCAGCTGGCTGCGAAGTACCACAGCAGAGACCTTCATCACTTGCAGCAATGCCCCTGTTAGTTAGAGTAGAACTACACCCACAACACACTAAACTTTTACCTGAGTCGGTGTCAACGTAGCTTGTCAAACCAATGCACACAAATCACTGGGAGAAAACCTTTACTCTCTACAAAAGTCACCTGGTAAAGATGGCAGAGGCAGCAGATTCACCAGACACACAAACACCAGTGAAGGACATAAAAAGTACATGCCCAGAAATGCAACACATAAGAGGAGGAAGCAGGAGAATCAGGAGTTCAAGGTCATCCTCAGCTACAGAGTGAGTCCAAGGCAAGCCTGGGCTACATGAGACCCTGTCTCAAAACAGACAATAAAACAAAGGAATGTATATTAACACATTTTGAGGTGTTTGTTAAATGTTAATTAAATCATTTTAAATCTAGCAGTCATAGAACTATAGAAGTCAAGTCAGTGGCTAAATTTTGAGAACAGGAAAATAATGGTTTAAAAGGTAACTGGTGGGGTGCTAGAGAGGCATCTCGGTTGTTAACAGCACTTTCCCAGAGGACCCAGGTTCAATTCCCAGCACACACTCATAGCAACTCACACCTGTCTGTAACTTTAGTTCTAGGGAATCCAAAATGCCGTCTTTGGCCACTGTAGGCATCAGATATACAAACAGTGTACAGACATACATGCAGGCAAAACACCCATACAAATAAAATTTTTAAAAAATGAAAAAAAAGTAGCAACAAACTATCAGAATGTTAGCAATGATAACCTATACAACCCTGAGTCACTTTGTGACAGGATACATTCTGAGAAATCCAACATGAGGCAATTTCATCAGGATAAGACAGTGAAGTGCATACTTACTCAATTCTAGGCAGTGTCACTTAGCTCTATGTGGCCTAATGTGAGCAAAAGACATGGAAAGCATGAGCTGTGTGACGCTAGAGCTGGCGTGTTGTACAATAAACAGTTTATTTAGTTAATTTTGGAATACCAGGAGTGAAAGAGGGTTTTGTGCTGGGTGGTGGTGGTGCGTACCTTTAATCCCAGCACTCAGGAGGCAGAGACAATCAGATCTTTGTGAGTTTGAGGCCAGCCTGGTCTACAGAGTGAGTGCCAGGATAGGCTCCAAAACTATACAAAGAAACCCTGTCTTGAAAAACAAACAAACTAAATAAATAAGTAAATAAAGTCTGTGTATGTGTGCTAGATTAGCACTGGACCCTGAGTCACAACCTAATCCAGTTTACCACTGAGATAGCCTCCTGCCCCTTCTTTTATTCCTTATTGCTTCATTTTTGAAACAGGGTTTCTCTGTGTAGCTGTGACTGTCCTGGAACTCACTCTGTAGACCAGGCTGGCCTAGAACTTGGAGATCCATCTGCCTCTGCCTCCTGAGTGCTGGGATTAAAGGCGTGAGCCACTACCCCACTCAGTAAATAGGTTTTGAATAAATAGAAGATGTACTCCAACAAAGCATAGCATTATAAAATAGCAGAGCATAGTAAAAATATAAGTCAATAACAGTCATGTCATCCCCAGTAACTGCTGTGCACTGTACATCGCTTCATATAGTACACAAACACTGCTAT